TCTCCAGAGAAACACCATTGCTCTTCAGTCGTAAATAATTTTATTACTACCCTTACCATTAGTATGCTTTTGATTCCTGGAAAAGGAACTCACTAGGTTCTAGGAAAGGGTAGAATTTGAAAGAAGCATAAGGAATTGGTAGATGCAGTGGTGACTTAGTGAGTAAAGCATTGCACTGCTAACCAAAAGGCAGGCGGTTTGAACCTACCAGTTTCTCTGAGAGGAAGATGAGCAATTTCCTCTTGTGCAGTTTACGGTCTTGACTTGACAGAAATGAGTTTACTTTCTTTCTTTCTTTCTTTTTTTTCATTTCATTACCAAAAAGGAAGCTGACCTAATCCTGGACCTCAGGAGAACTGACAGATGGCTCATTGTAGAGGGTCTGGACATGGGCCAGGGGAGAACAACAGTGTGCCTTCCAGGGTGTGACTGTGGCTTCTCTCAACACTGTTATAGGGTGGGCTAGTTTAACCTAGTGAAGATTTTCTTACTGCCTTCAGATTTATGGTTTTGTAAACAAGGTAATCATCCCATCTCTTTTGCTGGAATGTGAGGTGTGGGAAAGGGATCAAATTGGATAATAACAGTATTAAGATGTTAAGTGTCAAATGTTAAAGTAGAATTTTATGCTCAGCATTTGCTGCTGGAGATTATTTAGAGACAGATGATAAGTGCAGTCTGAGTGGATGCAAGGGAAATGAATCTTGGAGACCAGGGCAGGAGTGGGTGAGCCTGCAGATTTCCCCTCTGACACGGTGTGTGTAAGTGGTGACGTCAGGGCACTGGGGGTTTGTGAGGTATAAGAAAAGAGGGTAGCATTTGTCCCTTTGTGACTGAGATATGGTGCCACTGTTGTAGAATGAGGCTGGCATTGGGGTGGGGGTAAGACTGAGCAAAACTGGGTGAAATATGTTTACGGCATTGAAGTCTATGGGGGAGAGAATAGTCTAAAAGTATTATATTTTAGGGCATTATTTTTATCGTAGGAGTATGCAATGAGGGTTGCAGAGTGGATTATATTTGGGGGTAGGGGGTGGGGTTTGGGGGGGTGCGGGGGGGATTGTGTACCAATGAGTGAGTTTTTCTTTTGCTTTTCAAGGAGAGGAGCAAATGGGAGGGGGGAGGGGGGAGGGGTTTGTGCAGGGAGAAGGATGCAACAATGAATGAATGGAATCCCAAAATCTCTGTAGATGTTCATTGAAATGAAAAATAAACAACCTAAATTAAAAAAAAAAAGAAAGAAAGAAAAGAGGGTAGGAGAATTAGAAATCACATTTCTAAGGCAGCTACAACTTTCCCTGCAAAAGGGTACTTTTTGTAGAGAACAAGAGCCAGAAAATTCAAATATTTTGTTGTGTTGTTTTTTAGATGACCATAGGGAGAAGGACAAAGTAACAAACCAACGACAACAACATGTTGTGGGGTGGGCAGCAACACTGAATCTATTGGTCATTTTTATAATTGGGCAAATGTCTTTCATCTGCTGTTTTCTGTGGAATGCTTGTCTGTCGGATACTATTATATATATTAAATGAACTTACACATATATAAATCATCTTATATGAAGATCAAAACAGTACAGTAAGTTTCTGGATAGTATACGTTTTCAGTGACAGTTTAAGTATAAGGAGTGAAAAGGAACAGAAGCTCTGGTGACTTAGTGGTTAAGGAGTTGCTAACCCAAAGACATGGGGTTTGAGTCCACCAGTTGCTTTATGGGAGAAAGATGGATAATCTCCTGTGGAATTAACTCTCTGAAAACCTGCAGATGGGTCATCCTGAAGTCAGTTCCCACTTAATGGTACATAACAACAACAGCTAATGGAGATGCTTAAATTAAGGAAATGCCAGCTTTAAAAAAATACTTTGTTGCAATTGTTTCCTTTATTAAAAAAACAAACCAACCAACTTAACTTAATACACTTTAAAGAGCTTTTTAAATGTTTTTTTTAAAAAAAATATTGATAATGCTGGCACTGATTTTCAGTTATTTTATGTAAGTAAAATAACTTAGTACTTTTGATATTTAAAAATAATGTTTCTTCTTTCCAAAACAGTGCAATAAGTGGTGGGAGTGATGGTTGTATTTCTAAAGTATCTATAAAGCACATTTAAACATACTCTAGCAGAAATACACTGTTTCATAGGATCTTATTTTCAAATACACCTTTAACAAAATTGTTACATGAAAATACATTCTCAAAAACAAAGAAAAGAAAATACATTCTCATACTGAATTCAGAGTTGTAGAAATAGTTTCTACTTTCACTTCTTTTCCCTCCACCACTTTCCTTTCCCTGGTTCAAATAAATGCCGCAAGGTTGCCAGTTAAAAACCAGATTGTTCTTTTAGTCTGATGAGCAGCCAATAACATGAGTCACAGTTTAGGAAAGACATGTATAAATACAAACTACACACCAATGACTTTTACCACTAAAAGATGCATCTTTTGATCTCAGGGACTCCAGTTATTATTAGACACAAGCATAATTGTTTCTACCTGACTTAAAACTTTCCAAAAGAAAGGTATTAAATTATAAATCATTGGTAGAATTTTTAAAAGCAATGTTCTTTAAAGTGTCACTTTCACTTGACATGCTAATAGTAGCTTTTTGATAACAAAAAAAAAAAAAAGACAACTTAACAAAGCAAACGTCTGCAGGACTCATTGACATGTAATCGTCTAAAATACATGTTTGCTTAGCTCTTTTCTCTCACTTTGACCCAAACACAGTCCCTGGAAAATAGAATGGGCCCACTTTTGTTGGCATCTTTAATGCCAGGTTAACAACACCCGACTTGGGATTATGTCACTGCCTAGGCAGAGTATTCTGGGCTCTCCAGTCGTCTCTGATTTGCGACAGTGACATGTCCATCTGGGCCGTGTGCCAATTTCATGATCACTGGTATACTCCAGTCCATTTTTGCCACCACTAGTATTCTGCTTGCCTTCCTGTAGGGGGGACTTATCTTCTAACACACCATCAAATAGTATTCTGTTATCCATGTTTTCATTGGTTAATTTTTGGAAATAGATAACCAGGCCTTTTTCCCTAGCCTAAAACTCTGCTAAAATCTGTCTACCATGAGTGAAACAGCTGGTATTTGGTATTGGTATTTGGGTCATCGTTTTTAGCAATAAGCAAACCACCGAAGTACAACAAACTGACAGAAGGGTTGTTGCTGTTGTTAGGTGCTATCAGGTTGGCCATGCTTCATAGCAACCCTATGAACAACAGACCGAAACCTTCCTGTCGTCCTCCTCCATCGTCATATTCTGCCGAGTTTGAACCTGTTGTTGCATTCATTGTGTCAGTCCACATCATTGAGCATCTTCCTTTTGATGATGCTCTGTTTTCCTAGCATGGTGTCTTTGTTCCAAGATTGGGGCCGCCTGAGAACATGCCCAAAATAGACGAGGCCGTTTCACCATCCTTTCCTCTTCTGGAGCAGCCTGGTTGCACTTCCCCCCAGACAGATTTGTTATTTTGGCAGTCCATGTTTTAGTCAGTGCTCTTTTCCATCAAACACTAGTTACTTTTCAGGGTTCCTTTTCATTATCTAACTTTTGCATTCATATGAAGCAACTGAAAATACTATGGCTTGAGTCAGGCACATCTTAGTCTAACCTGACATTGTTGTTCTTTAGCACTTTAAAGAGGTCCGTGATGGCAGATTTGCCCAATTGCAGCTCACCTTTTGATTTCTTGACTACTGCTGCATGGGTGTTATGGAAGAAAAGAGTTTAGTGACAAAGTTTTCCCAACAATCCCTCCTTTAGCAGTGCTTAAAAATTTCCCCCAACCCAGAGAGAAGTTCTGTGTGAGGGTGAAAGACAGAAAATATTTACATGTAATAATACAACAAGATTAGAGAGGTTAGAGACCTTTCTAAAGTACTGAAGAGCAATGATGTCAGTATGGAGACTAAGGTGCACCTGATACAGGCCATGGTCTTTGCAATCACTTGCTATGCATCAGAGAGCTGGACAATGACTAGGGAAAATAGAAGGAGACTTGGTGTCTTTGAGCTGTGGTGCTGGAGAAGAGTATTGAAGATACTATGGACTGCTAAGAGAACGAATAGGTTTGGCTTGGAGAGAGTGGTGAAGCCAGAGTGCTGCTTGGAGGCAAGCATTCTGAGCCTTTGTCTGACATACTTTGGACATGTTACAAGGAGGGACCAGACCTTGGAGAAGGACATGCTTGGGAGGGTGGAGGGACAGCACAGGAGAGGAAGACCCTTAATGAGATGGATTGATTCAGTGATTAGAGTAATGGGTGTAGGTGGGTCAGAGATGGTGAGATTGGCACAGGATAGAGCAGTGTTTAGGGCTATTGTACATAGGGTCGCTGTAAGTCACAGGTGACTCGATGGCACATACCAACAACAAGAAGATGGTTTTAAAGTGGGATTCCCTTTTATGTTTAAGCTTTGGGCCTTAAGTACCTTTGTTTAAGGGCAGCTGGAATTCCAACTCCTTGCTTCAGCAGACGATGATCCAAACCAGATCCCATCCTCGTAGATGCCAGTGAATTTGCACGTTACGGTGCTCACATGGTCAACAGCTGCCTGCCTGTAGTCCACCCTGTCCACTTGGGTTTGGATTCTAGCTGCACCGGCAGTTTGGACATGCTTGTTTTATAGTGCAGAAGATCAAGTTATTTATCCCCAAGCTTCTCCCTCCAACTTCAGTTCTGGGATAAAAGCTAAACTGCATCTGAAGCACAAAAAGGAAAGGTATGATCTTGGGCTGTAGTGTGAGGCAACCCAGGATGTGTGGTCATTCACAATACACTGTTCATCTGGCATTGCACTTACTGTGACATCTGTGAGGATGAGTTGTCAATCTTTCTGTTTCAAACTAAAAAATAACCAGCACATTATCATTTTGTAGGCTCTTAGTGAACAGTTGCTGATTTAGAGAGGAAGGAATGAATTATGGAATGTTGATACTGTATTTCTCTATAAAATAAAATGTATTTTCCTGTTTACTGCAGCTAATAATGGCGCTGTCATCAAGTATGAGGGGAAAATTCCAAAACCAGCATTTCAGAATGGCTCCTCAGGATCCTTATATTTGAAGCCGTTAGCACCCAGAGCTCATGCTCACTTACTAAAATCTCCTTCCAAAGGTATGTGTTTCACTGTGCGGAGAGAGAGAAAAGGCATATTAAAGTCTTTGGTTGAAAGAAGTTCAATTGTTTTAACAGTTAGGTTTATTGTGGACCACAGTTGTTTATAAACAACTGTTATTTGTAAAAAGTCTACTGTAAAAGCAGAGGCAGTAATTTTTTATACTGAAAGATCGGATCCTGATTTTAAGACTTTGTAGGTTTAATTTATACATGGAATTCAGGAAACTGATCAAAGGAATAAGATGAAAAAAATTAGAGAGCTCTGGTGGCCTCCTGGCAAGAAGCTGCTCTGCAATCCCAGAAGTGCACGGTTCAAATCCACCGGATGCTCTGCTGGAGGAGGGGCACTCTCCTCCTGTACCAGTCAGATCTGATTTGACGGTACACACACAAAAAAATTTTTTTTTAAATTCTAAAAAAAAAAATAGTGAAGAAAAAAAAAATGTCTAGCTTTATACTCAGATGGTGCTCTAGATTTATGACCTACCCACGACCATTGTGTCAAATCTACTTCAAAGTGATAGGACATATAGAAATGCCACAAATGGTTTCCAAGCTTGTAATCTTTTATGGAAGCAAAATGTCACTTTTGTTATTCTAGGCCATCAAATCAGAACCGACCCATAGCTGACCTTCCAATAGATTTTCAGGTGCTACAAATTGAATCAGATGAGGAATTGGAGAGATGAGATTGTCCATCTGCTTCCCTCAGAGCTGCCAGTGGATTCAAACCGCTTCCCTTTGGGTTGATAGCACAGCTGCTTTGCTCTATGTTACCAGCATGCCCTACATTATCACCAGTGGATTCAAACCGCTGACCTGTGGCTTAAAAGTTGATCACTTAACTCCATGTGCCTTCAAGATTAGTGAGAGACTAATAATGTTAATGAGATACTAATAAATTAGTACTCTAGATACTAATAAATTAGTACTCTAGAAATACTCTACATTAGTGAGATACTAATAAAAATACAATTTCGTTTTATTTCCTACTTATCTAGATGCTTTATGCTGATTATTAAGTGTATGTGACATATACTGTTTTCAGGTAACTTTATCATAGCAGATTTGAAGTTCATCAAAAGTTTCTTTTATGCTTACTGAATTAAAAGAGTATGTGACCAAAAGGAAAATTGAAAACAAAAATTATGACCTGTAAGATGTGATTCATGCTTACATTACAGCATTTGGATAACAAATTTACCCAGAGCTCTACTTAATCCAGCTGTTACCAATAACATGTGAATTTTCGTCAGTTTTCTTCCTTCTGCGTATATACATGATTTATTTTTATTTCAAAAGACGTTATTCTTAGTATGTGCACTCTTCTGTATATTGCATCCTATTAATTATGGTGTAATGTGATTACCTTCATTGCAAATAACTGCAGTAGACCACCATTGCTTTACAATTAATTCCATTACTGTCCAAATTTATTTTATAGTGAACCAAAATTTCTGACTTTTATACATGATACTAAAATATCTTTGAGTTGTTGTTGTTATGTGCTATCAAGTCATCTGCAACTCATAGCGACCCTAGGTACAACAGCTCTGAACCCTTCTCTGTCCTGCCAACCTTACTGTCTCTGATACACCTAACCCCGTTACCCCAGTCACTGAGTCAATCCATCTCATCCAGGGTCTTCCTCTTTGTATCATTATTATTTCAGTTTCTATATAGTTCTATATAGAGGAACTCTGGTGGCCTACTGGTAAGAAACTGCACTGCAATCCAAAGGCATGTGGTTCAAAACCAACAGCTGCTCCACAGAAGTATGGGCAGTCTCCTCCCATGTAATTCAATGCTTCTGGAAACTCACCAGAGGGTCAGCTATGGGTTGGTTCCAACCCTATGATACACAACAAAAACAACAGCATACACTACTATGGGATACTTGTGTGTGTGTGGGGGGGGGGGTTAAATTTTTTTCCACACTGATTTCCATTTTCCCCCAATTGTTACACATTTTCTTTCCTCCTCCTCTTCTCCCTCTCTCAACCCTCCCCACAATGCATTCCTTGTTCCAGATTGTTGTTATACGTATAATACTCCATGGGATATCTTTGAATGAGGAATTATGATACTGGGTTAAACTGTATAAACCTTCGGAAGTAGTTAATAAACATATAGGAGGTCTGGTAGCATAGTGTGCTCCATGTTGGTTTGCTTAACTGAAAGATTGGTTGTTCAAATCCACCAGTCATCCTGCAGGAGAAAGATAAGTGGTCTGCTCCCTCAAAGATTTTCAACCTGGGAAACAATTTGAAGGTCACCTTGCATTAGAACCTGCTCAATAGCAGTGAGTTGGGTTGGTGTTGGAAATAATGTGAGTTACTAAAAAGCTTTCTAGGGAGAAAGATGTGCTTACTAATCTACACACACACACACACACACACACACACACACACACACACCCTCACCAACCCCACGTGATAGCTTCACGTTAAGGACCAGAGAATGTTTATCAATACTTATTTTCTATGGTCTTTTTAAAATTTTGGTGTGTTTTGTTTCCTTTGTTTTTAAAAGGAGAAAATAGACAATATTAGCAAAAACGATGCTTCACTGTGCCTTGCTGGCTCTCATTTACCTAGGCTCTTTCAAATAAATGGCTGAAATACTAGTGACCCCTGACAGAAATAATCACCAGTATGTGAACCTGTGGCTTTTATTGCTGATGATACCTCCTTAATCCATCCATCACTAACTGAAAATAAACTCACATATGTTTACTTTTGATATAAAGGTATGATTTTCAGAGAACTAGAATGTCAGGATTCTACTGATGACTATCAGGATAGGAAACCACTGTTGTGCTAAAATCACTATTGAGTTTGGAAGCTTTTATAGTACAAAAGCTTTCTTTGAGGAGGAATGTTTTTCACTTATAATTGACACATATTTAAAAGATTATTCTCTCTGAAATTCCCCAGATAGGAAGTAGTAGCTATTCTAACTAATAATCTGAAGATTAATTTTCCCTCAAAATGACTGTTACTTCCAAGTTTTCTTACAGTGATTTCTCTAACTTCTATAGCTGTTTACCAGTGCTAGTTGCACTTTATAGTTTGTCAGTTTGAATAAAATGTTAAATTATTCTTTATCATAGCTGCATTTGAAATGAATTGGATTGTATCTGGCAGTTTAGAAAATCAGACATAAGTAGGTATCTTCAACAAAGTGTGGCTTCATTTGTCAACAGAAAATACCATTGTGTGCTTACTATATATGTTGATTTGGTCTTATTAAAATTGGAATTTCAGTTTTTCTTTACTGGAAAAAATACTGTCCTGTTAAAACAGATCGTATCTAAGTTTCTTAAGGATGAATTTGTATCTTATCATGTTGATGTGACAGGATATAATTTTTAGATATAGAATGTATTTAATGAAAATTGATTGCATTTCACTGCTAGTTCCCATCTTAAACATAACTTTTAGTAATTATTAGATTGTTTTGGAAGCTATAATAACCCTCATTTCTAAAATGGTTTGTTTTGTTGATGTTTCATATAAAACACTATAATATATTTTATGTTTTTAAAATTTTAGGTCCATCAAGAAAAAATGTGCTTACAGCTTTTAATACGAGTGAGTAAACACTTTAAAATTTGATGGGGGAAAAGAATTTTTCTTTTTGTAAAGTTATTATTACAAAATCTAAATTATTTACATAGGATTTTCCTTGATATACTTAAAATAGAATTTCAAGTTTGAAAATGAACAACTACTTATAACATGAGGCAAGCATAGCATTAAAACTCAGCACGCCTGATTGACTAACAGTCTGTTGCAAAAAAACTCACAAAGCTTATTTTACTAGTAGCAAGTAATTTATTTAAAAATTGTTAATATAGGCTTAAAAGAATGAAAGAATACACTCTCTGTCCCATAGAATTTTTTACAATTGTATAACCTCTAATTGTTAAATATATTCTAATATCAGATTAAAACGATTTTTAAAAGTTCAACATCTTAATTTTTAATTCTTTTTCACACTTCTGTTGGACATACTTACATCCGTCTCTAAGATAGTTTACAGCCTTACCTATCTGAAATACAACTGACAATTAAACTGTCTTTCAAGAAACTATAAAAAATTTCAGAAGATTCACTGTTGTTGTTGTTATGTGCCGTCAAGTTGCTTGCGACTCATAGCAACCCTATGTACAACAGCCCTAAACTCCGCTCTGTCCTGTGCCAATCGCACTGTCTCTGACACTCCCATCCCAATTATCCCAGTCACTGAATCCACCTCATAGAGGGCCTTCCTCTCCTGCCCTGTCCCTCCACCCTCCCAAGCATGATGTCCTTCTCCAAGGACCGGTCTCTTCTCACAACATGTCCAAAGTATGTTAGACAGAGCCTCAGAATCCTTGCCTCCAAGGAGCCACCCGGTTTAACCCTTTCCAGGACAAATCTGTTTGTTTTCCTGGCAGTCCATGGTATTCTCAGTAATCTTCTCCAGCACCACAGCTCAAAGGCATCAATTCTCCTTCTATCCTACTTGGTCATTGTCCAACTCTCTGATGCATAACAAGTGATTGCAAAGACCATGGCCTGTATCAAACGCACCTTAGTTTCCAGAGAGACACCATTGCTCTTCAGTACTTTGGAGAGGTCCCTAACAGCAGGCTTTCCCATGGCAATGCACCTTTTAATTTCCTGGCTGCTGGTGCCAAGACTGTTGACTGTGGAGCCAAGCAAACTAAAGCTGTGCACAGTCTCAATCTCTTCACCATCCATCCTGATGCTGCCAATTGGTCCAGTGGTGAGAATCTTTGTCTTCTTGACATTGAGTCTCAATCAGAAACTTTTGTCTATAGCTTCTCAGGTCCCAAGACCTGCTTGCATTATCTACTTTTATATACAGCTATAAAAGAGTTATAAGGTTTCTCAGTCTATTGCTGATTAGTACAACAAATTCTGAGAGAGACAAATAAATGTTATACATGTTGACTATAGTTTATTCATTCATTTTAACAGTGTCTGGTCTTGAAGTACTGTAATGAGCCTCAAACCAGGTCTTGATCTTGAGGGAGCTTAAGTATAGTTACAGAATTGCACACAAAAACATGAAATCACATTTGCAGTAAGATCAAGAAAAGAAGATTATGTATTCTTAGAAAAGACCAGATAGAGAGGTGATATATTGAGAGAAATGTTGGCTGGAAATATACATTTTTGAAACCCCGCCCCCATATATAGATAGTAATTAAACCAAATAGAATGATTGACATTTCATAGTGAATAAGTAGTATCTTCCTCTATGTAATGAGACAGGGTAGTGAATAAGAATTGTATAAGAATCATTTAATGCAGAATAATGTAAATTCTAAGGGTCTCCCAAACAGGCTGGGGGTGAATAAATGTGGCTATGAAACCTAACATTTTAGTGGAGAAGATAGACCATTAAATGGCTTTATTTAGATTAGTGAAGTAGTCAACCATTATCAGAAAGTTTATTTACATTTATTTTTAATACTTTTTATGTGCTATTTCTTTTTCAAGTTGAGATTTAATTCATTTTCCTTACAGTTCACCTATTTAAAGTGTACAGTGAAGTGACTATATTCACAAAAGAAACCTAATATCCATTAGTAGTCTCTCCCTATTCTGCTCCAAACTCCCAAACATAAGCAAGTGCTAGTCTCTGTCTATAGATTTGCTTTTCTGAATATTTCATATAAATAGAGTTAATTAACAGAAGTTCAAGCTGCTTTGAAAGAAATAGCAAAAAATAAGGCCCCAGGAATAGATGGTATACCAATTGACATATTTCAGGTAACAGAAGCTGCCCTGGATGGGCTTACCAAGTTGTGCCAAGAAATCTGGAGAACAACCACTTGGCCAACTGACTGGAAGAGATCTATATTTGTTCCAATTCCAAAGAAAGGTGACCCAAC